AATAAAATTGATTTAAAAAAAGTTAAAATAAAATATATTATATTTGACTTATAAAATCAAATATCAAACCTAAAAGAATGTCTCCAAAAAGATAGATATTGTCAAACAAAGGGGTTACTATTTTGCTCTAAAACTAATTGATCGGAAAATGCTACAAGTTTTGTCAACTACGAGTCTACGACAATCTAGTAATTTTAATTTATTAATATACCAATGCATTTGTTAAAAACAAAATTAGTGCTTATGGCCATGCAAATGATGGCCTAGTGAACGAAGCAACAAAGATGTGTCAAATGTCCCAAATTCAAATTCTACAATCTCTAGGTCGAATTTGTTTGACATAAATATGATCGTGTGGCTTACATCGCTCGTACAGTTTACAAGTTATTAAATGGGGGTGGATGTTTATTCCATTCACCTATATATTTGGATGCGGATTCATTTACTACTTATTAATTAATAGAAAAATATTTAAAACATAAAAAAATGTAGAAAAAAATTGTGTGATTTGATCATAATGAATAATCATATACAAGTAAGAGCTCCCCCTACCTTACTACTTTGGCCAATAAATGCATATAGTGGTGTTCAAATAGGCCCCCTTGTGCGCCACGACACATTTAAGGTTGGCTCGTCCGATCAACAACTCAGCATGCCCACGGATTATTACAACTCGTCGGGCCATGGGTTGGAACTGTCGAACTAATGGTCACATAATCAAGAACAGGTTGTTCGAAGGATCAGGACCTTCTAGGTTGGCCGGTTATGAGTTGGTTATGGGTCGGCCCGGGTCAAACGCATGGCAATTTTCTTTTTGATGATCCCGACCGTTGATTTCAAAAGGAAAAAAAAGTCAATGTTGCCGAAGACCGGCGTTTACCGCCCGCGGCGGCAGCAACATAAAAAAAATAATAATAATAATAAAAATGAATAATAGGTATAATTTAGGGTCTAGTTGAGGTTAAGATGAGTTAAGTGATAAAATTGAAGCATATTAAAATGTGAGGCAATAATTTAGTCTTTTACACACCTCTGAACTTTGTCTAGATTTTGTTATAAAAGAGATTTTGGTGTTGTCCTCTCTATGAATAAGTAGGCCATGATGGGTTTCTTTTTAAATGCCCCAAAAATCTAATTAATGCATTTATAAATCAGAGAAATGTTTGAAATAATCTCGATTAATGAAAAAACTATATAAATATTTATATAGAATAATGAATTCTGTAAGGTTCTATATGATAATATAGGCGTGAAAATAACTTAAAATTATTTATATAAAAATAGATATTAATAAATTTGTCCAATAAAAAAATTAATAAATAATTGAATAACTTATTTAATCGAGCTTAATTCAAATAGAGTCATAGCAAGATCAAGCTCGGTTCATCATATATGGGCTCGCTAAAATGACTCAATCTCGATACACCTTACAATTAACTAGGTTATCAGATAAAATTTGGTCGAACTGTCAAGCTTCATGTAGGCCGAGCTCAATTGACATTCCCACATATTCTCTACTCAACATTTCACTGTTATTTGCATATATATATATATATATATATATGGGATAATTAGCAAGAACCCCCTCATCTAGGTAAATGAGTTAAGAAAACACCCTCTTCCAAAAATAATTAGAGAAAACCCCTTTACCTAACATTTCACCCAAGTGATATTTTCATAATTCCAAAACTACCGTTAATTATCTACTATACTCTTTCAAACCCTAATCTTATTTTCTCTTCTCTTCCGTCTCTTCTTTCCCCGTCCATTCTCTGTTTTTCTTTTCTCCATTTTATACTTTTCTCTCTCAATTCTTAGATTACTCTCTCTTGATCGGAAGATGAAGAACCAACTGGAACGGAACAACGATGCTAATTCCGTTGAAGCCTTTGTTGTCGGTGCCGTCTCCTTCGTCGTCGCTGTCGAAGTCGGGGTCGGGGTCGTCGTCGTTGTCGGCAGATCTTAACAAAAGCCATAAATTGTCGATTTGTTATCGAAATCGGATTTTTGATGGGTGGTGGTGCGAGTTGTGATTTTATTTATTGTTTGTAATTAAAAAACCATCATAATAGCAAAGTAAGGTGATGATGGTGTGTTGTGACGGCGGTGTAGTGACGATGGGGAGGCTGATTTAGGGTTTTTCGGTGGATTGAACGGATGAAGGTGCGTGTAGAGAATTTCGCGCAGGCTGTTACCTTAATCGACTATGTACATGTTCATAGTCGATTAAGCTAATCGACTATGCTCTGGTAGTCGATTAAGGTTCATCGATTCCAATTTTTTTTTTTTTTTGGATTTTTTGTTTATTGCTTTCAATTGTATAAATCATTTATAATATTTGTATATTTTTTTGTTTTTGTAATATATAG